AGTTGTATCTGAATATATCCTGCACCTTGGCTGGCTCGGCCATTACAGGGTACCTAGTGCAGTGTGCAAACATCATGACTGGGAATACAACATAGCCAGGCATGGTGCTGGTCATACCACCATATTGTCTGTCATGCTGGCCTAAACAATACTTGGTGCAACAGTCTGTCATGTTAAATGGAAAGCCTTTGTCTTTCTGCATGTGTGCATGTGGTGGCGTAGCGGTGGTGTAGCGGTTAGCGTGCTTCACTACAACCACGGTGACTCGGGTTCAATTCCCGCTCATGGTCAATACAAGTGACGATTATCTGAACCTGTCCCGGGCCTTCCCTAGGTCCACTCGGCCTCAAATTGAGTACCTGGTCCGGTTGTGTAAACATTGCCACTCGGGACCCAAAAGGCAGCCGGGCATAGTGCTGGACACCCACCCCCTTGTGTGCCGTGCCGGCCTTCATAGGTGCTCACTCACAGCACTTGTTCCTACAGTTAGTTCAAGCTATGCGGGGGATCTTTGTCTTTGTAGCCTGGCACAAGCACCGTTGTGACGTCACCGCCACTTAGTGGTGAATGGTTGTTGTAGTTGTGTGTACACTCTGCTACAAAACTGACAATCTGTGTTCACTTCCGATTAGCACAGTTGGCTACATACGGTGTGAAATAAGTTCAACATACAACCCAGTGTCCTGAGTTCTGTTCACGGCCACAGGTAACATGTATGTAAGCTGAACTTCTTTCGCAGCGTACATAGCCAACCATCAATGACAAGCGAAATCTGAACCTGTTCTTGGTTTTGGGCAACTTAACCTTTTTGAAATATTTCGTGCTGTGTATATAAATAAGGCACTGATGGACAAATACACTCGATCATGATGCGGGCCACACTATCACCCACTCATGTGCTGTTTCATCCTTCATAGTTTCTCAATATATTTTAGTTTTTTACGTGGTGGTTTGGCTGCTGCAGCTCTTTACTATTAAAATTTCCCTCCCTTTATTACTGCTAATCCTACTTCCTCCCTTTATGACTGCTAATCCTACATAATACACGAGCATAATATGACTTTGAGACCCCCCCCACCACCTACACATTCCACAAGTAGTGACTAATCCCATATCTGCATTTTCCATAAATATGCTAAATTCCTCTGTTGATATGTAAATTCCTTTGTCAGGGCGCTCTCCTCCTCTAACCCAGCTTAAATATACGCTGCCAAGCTTGGTGGTGTCCAATCGGATGCTGTCTTTCCAACAGCCCTGTTCTTCACCTGAGGACGGCTGCTTATGTTGTGGCCGAAACGTCATGAGAATTTTATTTTATTATGTCAATTTTTATTTTATTTTATTATTTCCCTTCTACGTCACTTTACCGAAAGAACCAAGAAGATGAATCCCTGCAGTCACGAAAGCTTTAAATCGAAATCTCCTGCGAGCTTTGACACTTTATGTCAGGGGTCCTCAAACTTTTTAAACAGGTTGGCCAGTTCACTGTCCCTCAGACCGTTGGAGGGCCGGACTATAGTTAAAAAAAAAAACTATGAACAAATTCCTATGCACACTGCATATATCTTATTTTGAAGTGAAAAAACAAAACGGGAACAAATACAATATTTAAAATGAAGAACAAGTAAAGTTAAATCAACAAACTTGCCAGTATTTCAATGGGAACTATGGGCCTGCTTTTGGCTAATGAGATGGTCAATGTCCGGTTCCATATTTGTCACTGCTAGTCGTAACAAGTGATGAAAGTGTGCATCCGTTAGTCTAGATCTGGTTGGAGATTTCAAATGTTTCATTCTGGAAAAAGTCTGTTCACAGACATAAGTGCTGCCAAAGATGGTTGCCATTTTGAGTGCATGGTTCCTGAGATGAGGATATGTAGATGCATAGAAATTATGAAGGCTGCTTGACTTGAATGCGTCTTTCAGAGGGTCACAATTCTGCCGTTCAGCCAGTTCCATTTGGTAAATTGTATCCACATTTTCAATGTCAATAGAAAATGGGTTACGGAAAAGCTGTATGTCCTGTTCATGGAGATGAAGCTCTTTAAATCTAAATTGGAACTTCTTTTGCAATTTTTCCAGTGAATCCACACATGTTTTGTTTGGGAATTGCAACCAATGGTTTTTCCGCTAACAGATTTTGAGTTGTGGGGAGATGGCAGAAGTTTTCCTCCTTAACTTGTTTGATGAGGAGGCCTAATTTTACTAAATGCTTTGACATGTGATTGCATATCACAGATGAGCTTCCCCTTTCCTTGAAGTTGCACATTGAAACTGTTGAGTAGCTCTGTTACATCTGTCAGAAAGGCAAGGTGCCATTTCCATTCTGCATCATTGAGCTCTGGTACTTCTTTGTTTTTTGAAAGCAGAAAAGCTGTAATCTGTGGAAGTAAGTCATTGAAACGTTTCAAAACTCTCCCTTGACTCAGCCAACGGACTTCTGTGTGGTACAGAACATCTTCATAGTCAACATTTAGTTCAGACAGAAATTCCTGAAATTGTCTGTGGTTTAGTGCATGAGCTCTAATGAAGTTAACACAAGATTCCACAATTTTCATAACAGAGTCCCACTTCAGTGATTTACTACACAGCGCTTATTGGTGGATGAGGCAGTGTATGGCTATTGGATGAGAATGGTTATGTTTGTCCATCTCTTGGTTAATGCGAGCAATTACTCCTTTCTTAGACCCCACCATGCTAGGAGCACCATCAGTTGTCACACTGGCTAGTTTAGCCCAGTTCAGCTCCAAACCATTCACAGTTTGGCAAACTTTTTCATAGATATCCTCTTCTGTAGTTGTTCCTTTGATGCTTTGCAGTGCAGCAAGCTCTTCTGTGACTTCAAAATAGTAATTCGTCCCGCGAATAAAAATTAGAAGTTGTGCAGAATCACGAACATCATTGCTTTCGTCGAGTGCCAAGGAAAAATAGGAAAGTTTTTTTGTGGAGTTTTGCAAATGCTGATGCAAATTGTCTCCCATTTCTTCAATCCTCCGTGTAATTGTAGGTCCTGAAAGACTCACTGTACTAAATAAATCGGCCTTCTCTGGACACATCTCTTTGGCAACAGAAAGAAGGCATCTTTTACAAATTCTCCCTCCACGAATGGTCTGCCAGTGCACGCTATTAGCTTGGCAACTTGAAAACTTGCTCGCAGTGATGAAATATTTAGCTGCTTCTGCTTCACAAAAGTATTTTGCTGAGTTGTTAATGTATTTTTCAGTTTTAATATTTTATCTTTTCTCACTTCTCCGACCAAACAATCATATTTATCTTTATGTTGAGTTTCATAGTGTCGACGTAAATTGTATTCTTTGAACACAGACACTATATTCTGGCATATCAGACACACAGCTCTTTCCTTGTACTGCATGAAAAAGTAATCCTAAGTCCACTGTTCTTTGAATATCCTACACTCCGAGTCAATTTTCCTCTTTCTTGACATCATTGTTTCCTAGGGAGTCAAAATTGCTATTAGTAAAATACCAATATATATACAGCGCTACAAAAACAATATACCAGCAATAACTTTGCCCACACAGAGACATACAGACTGCGCTGCCCATCAATGCAGTCTGATTGGGGGAACTCCGCTTTTACCCCAGGCTCACACTGGTGCGGGTGCCATTAAAAAGTTAATTACACCTGCAGTTTTGTTCACAGATCGCAGTACATCCCCAGCACACAGGAATATCACTGGGAGTGGAGCCGAGGGGCAAGTGAGGGAGCTGAGGGAGGGAGAGCCAGTCAAGCGCAGCCAGGGGAGGGCTGGCAGCCTTAGGCCTGGGGGGCAAGTCCAGTCAATTGGCCCATTGAACCATTCACCAGCGCAGCCCAATGAGTGCCCACCGCCGCAGCTCAATCAGTGCCCACCGCCGCAGCTCAATCAGTGCTCACCAGCGCAGCCAAATCAGTGCTCGCCACCGCAGCTCAATCAGTGCTCACCAGCGCAGCCCAATTAGTGCTCACAAGCGCAGCCCAATTAGTGACCATGGGCCGGATTAATGTCCTCGGCGGGCCGCATGTGGCCCGCGGGCCGTAGTTTGAGGACCCCTGCTTTATGTGGTCAAAAAGTGCACCTAGCCTGGCACAGGCACATGGTGACGTCACAACCACTTAGTGGTGAACAGCAATTGTTAGATCTCTCCGTGAACATGTACACTTGTATTTGTATGAGAGCCCGTACTGTATGTGTAATGCGTGTCTGACGAGGCACACACTGGGATAGGAGGCACCACACTTTATTCACTTAACAGTAACAGCTACAACAAGGCTATTCTACACCTCAACGAGAGAGAGGGAGGATTCTTCATGCCCGGAGCCTCAACACTTTCGGCTCCCGCTTCCACCGGCGTGACCATGCACCATCCGAGCCCCACACTCACTGCCTCACACTGTCCCAAGGCCCCGCCTCTTCCCTTTCCCTTCCCCGAGCGTGGCCCCACCCCGGCTCTTGCCACGTCACTTCCCCTGACTCTCCCGATGGCACCCTAGCCAACGTGACAGACCCCTCGAGTCCCCATCGGCAGACAAGTGCAGGTAAGGGAGCGCGTCTCCTCACAATAGTCACACCCCAGGGATGCCATTTACGTCCCTACATATGTATAAGAAACAAAAACCTTCACTTTTATTTGGGAAGCTCATTGAACTTGCCAATACTGGTACCAGCGGTATCAATATCGCCTTATGTGGAAGAGGCTCAAAGGATGCTACTGGGCAGTTGGAGGCAGTTGCCCTCCAACAACAAAGGTGAGTGGTTTACCGGTTCTCTAAAACGCAACAAGTTCGTACAGTGGGGAGCACAGGTGGTGGTCCTCTTGGTTGACGCGTAACATCTGGGTCTGTCCCGTGACCTACCAGGGAGTCTTCCAAACTTCATGTGACCCCAAAGTGCATCTAGCCTTGCAAAAGTTCTGTGGTGACATCACCATCACTTAGTGGTGATTGGCGGCTGTTGTGTGCATGTATTCTATATATGTGTGTATGTGTGCGTGTGTGCAGACAAGCCCAAGCTGCCTGACAGCTACCCTGCGGAGACGTGGCAAAAGCTGCAGGAGGCTGTGCAGGCGATCCAGAACAGCACCTCCATTAAGTACAACCTAGAGGAGCTCTACCAGGTGAGCCCAGCAACACAGGGTGGTGTGGAACCATTCTTCACTGTCATGGATTGGGGTTCCAATATAACCTCTAGAGTGCAAGCTTTATGACATGGAGCTCAAGCCTCACATGGAGCCTTTCTGGCACACCTCATCCTTGGAGAAATCTAAGGCAAACGAGCAAGAGGAAGACAAAGGTGGACATAGTAGGGGGGTGACATTGGGGAGTGGACTCAGCTCAGCCAAAAGAGGTTTTGAACAGAGCGGAAGTGCTGGCTTACGTTGGCATTTCACCTCCGAACCTGGAGCTCACACTGATAGATGGCTAGATATTTTGTTATTTTGGTGAATGTAGTGCTTCTAGCCTGGTCTCTTTGAGTTTTCACCTGGTTAAACAATGAACTTGAAGGTTGTGGCTGCAGGGTGTTACGTGACATACATAAATTTAATTAATCACTGCTAGCACGCACAATTTGATGCGAGAATTTGAGTGTGTGGAAATTATTTTCGTTGAATCGGTGCCTTGTTCCACATACATTTGTATAGCTGTCGGCATGATCCGAAGGCATCTTCATAACCTTGTATAATTATTAAGCATAGTTATTTAGTTAAAATGATATCCCTATTGAGGATCCATTATGGTGTAGTGCATGGTAATGATGATGTTGGTGCTGGTTCTGCCATGCTCCCCCTCCATCTGGTAGGCGGTGGAGAACCTGTGTTCGTACAAGATCTCTGCAAAGCTTTACCTACAGCTGCGGCAGGTGTGCGAGGAGCACATCCGCGCTCAGATCCAGCACTTCTGGGGATATCCTTGGCCCACTTGCAACATGGGCAGCACTCACCCACCTGCACATATACCCACCCACCTACCAGTTGACCCTATCACTTACTAAATATATTATTCCATTGTTAATAGTGAACTTGCTATCCGCGAATCATATCTGGAACATTATACGACTGCATCGAGAGAGAAAGAGAGAAATAAAGTTATGATATAAAGTGATGAGAAAATGTGATATGAGAAAGTGATAAAATTAAGTGATGAAATAAAGTTAAGAGATCAAGATGACTTCCCAGTCTATCCAAATGTGTATATACAGGAGCAGTAATGGCATCGCAATGATCATTGGCATTGCTGCATTCTTCTACTGCTTATTTATATAACAAAAATTTTCGCGTAAAATTTTAATGTATTTAATAGTTTATGTGTTTATTGAAGGTAATTCATTAAAAAGATAGGTATTCGTAGGTCAATATCATTATCCACGAAACGTCGTGATATAATTTATTTTATTTTCTACCTACGTGACTTTACCGAAAGAACCAAAGTATGGATCCCTGCAGTCACGAAAACTTCAAATCGAGATTAATATTTGTCTGGGTTGGGACCCCCAGACACGCTGGAAGATTTGGTCCCCCCAATGTTGACTTCATGGCTACGGCCTTGGATCATACAACGTCTGACGATGCAATGCCTGATCCACAAATGCGAAGGAGACCTCACAGCGATACACTCCGCTACACATGACACGGTTATTTGGCTTGACCACCTGAATGTAAAATTGTAGTTATTGCTCTGCATCTACATCAGCCATATGAAAGAAGAACAATAATAAAACTCACCCACATATAGGGTGGTGTATAGTAATACAGTATATAATAATAAAACTCACCCACATATAGGGTGGTGTATAGTAATACAATATATAATGTAATGTTGGGTTTGTCTATGGCAGCATATAGTACGGGGAAGACCTGTTTGATGTAAGGGAAAAAAGTTTAGCTGGAAGCATATTATATTTTTTGCGACATAGAATTGTAATGTATTACTTACTGTTAGTAGCTCAGCTTATTGGAGAGTATATTTAGTATACTGATGATACTATGAAGTTTATACTTTAGTTTTTTACGTGGTTGTTTGGTTGCTGCAGCTGCATACTATTCACATTCCTTCCCTTTGTTGGCGCTGCCCCTGCCCCTGCCCCCTCCCTTTGATGTTGCTAATCCTGCATAATGCATGAGCATAATATGACTTTGAAAACCCCCCGCCCACCTCCCACGCATTTCACAATTAGCACTATTCGCATTCCTGCATTTCCCATAAATATGCTAAATTCCTCTTCAAATGCAAATTCTTTTGTCAAGGCTCTCTTCCTCCTCCCTCACAGCTTAAATAGACACTCCAAGCCTAAGACGTGTCATTTAGTCTCTGTCTTATCGACAGACATGTTCTTCACCTGAGGACGGCTGCTTGCGTTGTGGCCGAAACGTCGTGAGAATTATTTTATTATGTTTTATTTTTATTATTTTATTACTTCCCTTCTACGTGACTTTACCGAAAGAACCAAGAAGATCACCCACACATTCATTGATTAACCCAAAACCAAAATCTTGAATAAATAATTGTATCAGCAAATACATTGAAAAGAAGTGCTGGTTAAATGAAAGATGCAGATGGAAACTAAGTTATGAATCGGGCATCTATGTGTGTACAGCCGTCGCCCTTAACAAAAACCCACAGGCTCGATGGACAGCGTGTTGTTCCTGAAGCACATCGACAAGTGCTGGCAAGATCACTGCCGGCAGATGGTAAGACAGCTTATGCCATAGGTACTGACATGAGCTGCTTCTAAGCAAGACGCACCCTATGATGTGAGTTTGTGTGTGGGCTGCAGTGGTGCAGTGGTTCCTGCACTCACTATGAACCCAGCAATCTTTGGTTCCTGCTCACGGCTAACTTCATTGGCAAGTGGTATCAGAAATAATTCCTCGCTTCCCCTTGGTCAAATCAGCCTTAAATCGGTAACTAGCACAGCGTGTAGACATCTCCACTATGGAGACATTGGTGGCCAGGTGTGGTCCTGCCCACTACCCCTTCCATGCGCTGTTCCATCCTTAATAGGTGCTTGTAGACAGTATTTGCCCCACCAGTTTTAATGGGTCTGTGGGGGATTTGTTGTGTTTATTTTACAGTGTGTCTGAGTGTATTGGTATGGTAGTGTGGTCAGTGATTGCACTACGATCTCATTGACCTGGCTTGAAATGTGGTCACATTTAGACGCTATCATTCTCATCATTAGCCACGTTAATCCAATGCTGAATTATGGCTTCTTCACACCATTACATTTCTCATGGACACTATATAAACCAAAGTTTACAACAGTTGGTACCTGAAACCTGGTGTTAACCCTACCTGAAGTAAGTACTTGGATTGCAATGTAGTCCGAAAAAGGGTTTGTCCGGGTTTGCACTGGTTCATCCCAGCCTTGACGGGCACCCGCTATAACACCGCCTGCCCAGCAGTGCCATTGCACGTAGAAGCTCATGGTTTACCTGTGTTTTCTGTGCCACAGATAATGATCAGAAGTATCTTCCTGTTTCTGGACCGTACATACGTGCTGCAGAACTCTATGTTGCCCTCCATATGGTGAGTTATTAGCTTCTTGTCTACTCGTAAAGCTGTGCTACTTTGGTGCATGAAGTGAGTCAGTGTGTGGTAGAGCTTGTGGGTCAATGTTCCAAATCTCGAGTTGCAGTAAGGTCTTCTATCATTTTTACATATCACAATCCTTGGAATCTGGTGACCTGAGTTAATTTCTCACTCAATGCCAAAATTAGTGACGAACGTCTGAACCAATCATGCACCGCCATCAGGTTGTTTCAGTCTTAAATGAGTACCTCGTGTGGTGTGTTAACATCAACACTCGGATAACAAAGGCAGCCAGTCGTGCTGCTGGCCACCCACCCCCTCATGCGTCGTGCCGGGCTAAATAGGGGCTCGCTAACAGCATACAGAGGACCTTTGTTTTTGTGTGTGTGTACAGGGACATGGGTCTGGAGCTGTTCCGCACGCACGTTGTCAGTGACCGCCTAGTGCAGAACCGCACAATCGACGGGCTCCTGCTGCTCATTGAGCGTGAGCGCAGCGGCGAGACGGTTGACCGTAGCCTCCTGCGCAGCCTCCTCAGCATGCTGTCTGACCTGCAGGTGTGTACGTGCCATGTATACACACGCACCCATTGCTCAGTGTGCTCTATTAACTTGCAGGTGTGTACACACATAGCCATGTACACAGCCAAATATACACAACCATTGATCAGTATGCTGTCTGTCCGCTTGATGAGTGTATACGAGCCACCTGTACACCTCTTGTCTGTACCCAGTACATTTTTTGTCTGTTCTGTTCACCTATAACTGCGTGTCCGGGAGGCCGTGTGTGACTGACCTGCTTTTGCTGTGTGCTCTTGGGCTGGTGCACAGATATACCAGGACTGCTTTGAGCAGAGGTTCTTGGTTGAAACAAATCGCCTGTACGCAGCGGAGGGACAGAGACTTATGCAGGAGCGCGAGGTGACTTATTGCCATCACCAGCATCTCCACCACATGGCATTCGAACTGACAGTGCACACAAGCAAGGAGGTGCTTGGACAACTTTGGGGGTTAATACTAGGGACACTCGATTGTTTATGTTAAGTGTAATTTATATGTGTATGTTACCTTAAGGCTGGTGGTTTTGGCATAAGAACAAATGAGACAGCTCGTATGACCTTGCAAGAAAGCCAGTATAAACAAAGTTGTACACATGAGTCCTAAGGGAATACTTTTTTTATTCAAATCAGAACCCCAAATCTTGACAATTCACTGAATCATGGTGTGGGGGAGTAGTCGGTCATTCCATGCCGAGGCCTTGCGGTGTCAATGCACTGAACCGGCACTGCTAAAATTCTGACTTCTGATCTGGGTTTCAGCCACATGTGATGAAACCGATTTTCAATTAATAGTTGCAGTCATTGTACAACAACATCTTTATGTAAAATGTGGGTGTTGTCTTTAATTTCAAGCCCAGAGGACTAAACAATCTCCACACAACAATTGGCACTTGTTGCAGAGCGTTCAAAAATGTTGCCACTTGGTGTGAATAAGCAGCCTGTGGATGTCATCTTTCGTGGTGGTTCATTGACTGAGTGATGGAGTTTTCCCTGCTGTGAGCTGCAAATGGGAATGTATTTGTCATGTTACATGACGCTGATGGCTCAATTTCAAAATAATTAACGGAGAAAAAAATCTTAACAGACCGTGTACAGTACGCTCAACTAATTCTGGCAGTGAGCGGAATTGGTTTCTTAGCTGATATGAAAGAGGAAAACCACTTGTTAATTAAAATGTTTCTGAGGCAGCACATTGTGCAATGCTGTCTCAATCCATAAGGTACCAAGTGTACTGTGGCAGTCACGTGAGCCTCTGTGGTATCTGCGCAGGTGCCGGAGTACTTGCATCATGTGAACAAGCGGCTAGAGGAGGAGTCCGACAGAATCATCACCTACCTTGACCAGAGCACACAGTAATGCTGCACATGGGAAAAACTGCACACACACGCATAGCATGCACATCGGCACACTTATATCGAAGCTAATTGTAGCATTTGACCAATGTGTACGCAATACAATACAATTTACTAGACTGGTCAGACCCCACGGGCCGTCCGTTATACGATGCCACGTCCAGGTCCACACGGCCTGATTCCTCCATGATTCTGAGATTCTGCTAATCTCACAGCGCTGCTAAGAACCGTGTTGAATTCTGAGAGCGGAATCACGTTATAAGGATAGGAATCGTGAGAATTGCCCAGGTCTAATGCACACAAATTTTTAACACGTATACCAATGCAGTTCCACCAGGATCGAAGTGCATTGTGAAAATCACCACACCGCCACTCATCACACATGAGAAGACAACAATAGCAGCAGTCACCATTGGCCATGAAGTGCTGGTTACATCACGACGGTGCTTTTTCCAGGCTAGGTGCACTTGGAGGCCACGTAAAGTACAGAAAGCTTGCTACCAGGAGGTCACGGCACACCTGTGCTCCCCACTGCCAATTTGCTGCGTTTTAGCCACCCGGCGCTCCGCTCGTTGTTACGAGTGTCGGTTTTTGGAGAGCGATTGCCTGCAACTGCCCAGTAGTGTCCTTCACAAGCATCCTCCACAGAAGCGATCTTGATACCGCTCGTACTAATCATCAGCAAGTGCAACGAGCTGCATATCCTCTGGTACTACATCAGCCCTTCTCCTCTTCAGCTCGTGCTGTGCCCAGTTAGCCTCCTCTATCCTGCCAAACAACCTGCTTGGGCATGTGATGGCTGGGCATGCGATGGCTGGGCATGCAGGCTTCATGACCCAGCCAATGCAGCTTGCTTCCAGAACTTTAATGGGTCTGTGAACTCACGCATTCCAGTCTAAGTAAACCCAGGATGAAAGAACCAGAATAAGTCTGAAAGAACCAGAATAAGCCGACATTATATACTTACAGTGTGCTCACTTAGGTTACGAACCAGGCTACAGCCTGCATTATAGATTGCCAATACGCTCACCAGCTTAAAAATCAGGCTACAGTCTACATTATGGACAGCCAGTAAACTCACGAAGGTTTTTTTAATTAACTTTATTTTTATTTTTTTTATATATGTGACTTTACGGAAAGAGCCAAAGAATATAAACCCAGGATGGTTTAGAGGCAGACCAGCCTGGATGTTTCAAATCTGCGCAGATGTTTCTTGAAAGGGGAGTCCACGTTTCACAAGTATACTGAAGGAAAGGTGTAACTGTGTCTGAGAAGACAGGAGCTTCGCATGGAGCAATAGGTCAGGTGGCTTCCACACTCCGCTATGTGGCTGGTGAAAGATAAAGCCGCTCAACTGATCCAGTGTCCTCCTCTGCCACACGAGAGCTGCTCATAAGCATATGCCCTCATTCTTTCACAATCAATCCTGTTTGCTCACACACGCTCACCGACGCATGTCCCATTGATGACGTATGTCTTTGTGCCATCTCATTGCAGGAAGTCACTCATCGCCTCCGTGGAGAAACAGCTACTAGGGGAGCACTTGACGGCCATCCTGCAGAAAGGTGCAGCCTGTACACTCCCCACTACTGACCAATAGCCTCTTGTCTACTCCTTGCAAGACTTGCCACCACACCATGAGACTCCACAGCACGAGACTGGCAACTACTCATTACTATTCATCATGAGATTTGCCAATACTCATCACAACTTACCACGAGACTCACCATGACATACCACTACTCACCATAGGACTGTGCCCACTACTTACCACCACACCATGAGACTCACCAATCAAATGCCACACTACTGAACAGTCTGCTTGATCTGTATACTTGTGTTTGTGTGGATATGTGTCAGTATGTATATTGTGTGTGTATATAAGTTTGTGTGCATTTGCAGGGTTGAACAACCTCCTGGATGAGAACCGGATTCCTGAGCTGTCCCTGCTCTATCAGCTGTTCAGCCGTGTTAAGGGCGGAATCCAGGTCTTGCTGCAGCACTGGGCCGACTACATCAAGGTGTGGTTTACTGCCACAGAGACATGATTCAGTTTCATCTATTAGGTATAGCCCTATGAGCCATGCGGCTCTTAACTCGGGTGCAACTGCAACAAACAAAAACATGAACAAAGAACATCTTAAAAGGATGACGCGCAACAGAAACATCCAGCAAATAAACAGCAAATTCTTCCAGAAAAAAACACTGTATATCAACGCTGTGTGCAAAAATCCCAGTGGGGATGCAAGTAAAACAATAACAACCATAAGACAATTTCGATGAAAGTTATCAGGCTAATGCCGTACTTCAACAAATAAATATGCCTTCACCATACGTTTTCGAAATCACCAAAATAAAGCTATAAAAACAATGTAACAATGATCATAGGAACTGTGATTGAAATTTAACAATAAGCGATATACATAACATATACGACCCATCTTTGTAGCCATAGCTGGCAGCATAAGTCACTCCATAACAGCAGGAGTATCAGTAGGAGTATCGAATTTTTCAATGCACCTTTAAAGATCAGCACACTATAATAAAAACTCAAGATCATACTTTGCAGCGGACATTCGGAGAGATGCATTTGATTTCAGGCCACTCTGCATAGCAGTGGCAGCGGGGGGTGTACAGCTCCTCAAGAGCAGTTTTGAGTGCAGATCTCACAGGTAATGATCCAAGTTGCAGTTTATTGGTGATAGCATTCCAGACTCTGGTGGCATCAACAGCAAAGGACCTTCCTCCTGTGTTTGTACGGCAATAAGGAATATGAAGCTGGTAAATGAGCGAGGACCTTAGGTCACGTTTGTTCTTGGAAACAGTGAGGAGATCCAACAGGTAGTCTGCTGATTTTTTTGTTAGTGCATCGTGAATACATTTTATCTGATGCACAAGCCGTCGAACATTAAGAGATCTTAAGGTTTGACCCAATGTAGAGATCACAGTGGTGGGTCCTATATGGGCAGTTCAATGCAAATCTTAAGGCCGAGTAATAGATTGAGTCAAGCTTCTTCAGTATAGTACTGTGGGCTGATTTATATACAATGTCACAGTAATCAAGTAGAGGTAGTATGGTAGCTTTTATCAATTCCAAACAGAACATAGACGGGAAGCAGTGCTTGTGTCGATACAGAAAATAAACTTTTTATTTTGTCTTTTTACCAATATAATCAATGTGATCTTGAAAATTCAGTTTTTAATCAAAAGATGACCCCAAGATACTTATAGATTTTTGCTTGCTCTATTTGATAATTATTTAAAGAATTTAATTGGGGAAAAATACTTCCTGCTTTAGTCCTGGTGAGAAGCATAGGACCTTGGTTTTGGAGGTATTCAGGACTAGTTTAAGAGCAACTAGCTGATGTTGTTGTTGTTGGTTGAAATCACCCTGGAGCTTAGCAATCACGTCATCCGGAGAGCGGCCAGCAGTAATCAGTATCGTGTCATCTGCAAACAGATTAACCCTGGAATGATCCAGGTCAGTACCCAAGTCATTGACATGAAGAGAGAACAAGAGGGGGCCGAGGACGTGAACCCTGTGGAACCCCTTTTGTTATGATAGGAGGGAGAGAGGAGTGAGGGGCATGTGTCAGGGATGGTGAGCTTTGCCGGCCTTCATAGATGTTCGCTAACAGCACTTGCTCCTACAATCGGTTACGGCTATACGGGGGATCTTTATTTGTGTGACTAATTGAGTGTGTCTGCAGTGTTTGTGGTTATCGCACTGAACTACAAACCCGGCGACCCAAGTTCAATTCCCAGCCATGGCCAACCTTAGTGGTGACTATCTGAATCGGTCTAGGGCCTCTTCGAAGTTGATTGAGTCTTAAATGAGTACCTGGTGTGATGTGTAAATGTCAGTACTGGGGAGACTCTGGCCACTGGTTGTGATGTTCACCACACCACCTCCTCTTGAGTCGTGCCAGCCTTCATAGGTGCCCACTAAGCAACACCTGCACCTACAGCCTGTATGTTTATTGGGGGTCTTTGTTGTTAGTGTGGTTGAGTGTGTAAGTGTGAGAGGGTCTGTAAGTCGAGGTGGGCGGGTCAGTGTGTCTGTCTGGCAGTGAGTGTTAGCGAACCGCTCGTGTAGTGGTTAGTGCGCTGCGCTATGACCCCGGTAACCTCAGTTCGATTCCCGCTCATGGCCAACACCAGTGATGATTATCTGAACTGGTCCTGGCGATTCATTCGGTTTACTCAGCCTCAAATGAGTATCTGGTGCTGTGTAAACATTACCTCTACGGAGACAAAGCCAGTCGGCATGGTGCTTGCCACCCACCTCCTTGTGTGCCTGCCGGCCTTCATAGGTGCTCGCTAAATAGCACTTGCCCAAACTGTCTGCTAAGGCTATATGGGGATATTTGTCTTTGTTGTGAGTGAGTGCATACATTCTTCAGAGCAAACCAATCGAACATTCCTAGCATGAATATCTGGAGGAATCTTACAATCGTGTTTTATGTTAACCATGTACACTGAAATGTAATCTGCCTGCAGAGTTATCTTTCACCTGTAAATCTGGTACATTGACAGAATTTCTGTCAATTTCCCCACCCAACCCATTTTAGACACGCATTGTCGTGGTCCGTGAATGCTTTGTAGCACAGCAGAGGAAGGCGCTTCCGGCTGCTAACGATTGTCCCCTCAGCGTTCCATAAAAGCCTCCGCTGACATTATTATTGGCTGCTGCTCGGTGTATGGGTGGCAGGTGTTCGGCACGACGATCGTGGTGAACCCCGAAAAGGACAAGACGATGGTGCAGGAACTGCTAGATTTCAAGGAGAAGGTGGACGTGATCGTGGAGGTTTGCTTCCAGCGCAGCGACAAGTTCATCAACGCCATGAAGGAGGCCTTCGAGACGTTCATCAACAAGAGGCTCAACAAGCCTGCTGAGCTCATCGGTCAGAGCCCACCAAAGCGCATCGAGCAGGGTGGCTCCATCGCGGGCTCATAATGGCCATGTCCAAGCACTGAGTCGGCACCGCTCGCATACTGGTCCATGTCTGCTCTCAAACCATGTGCTCAAGTTCACGTGAAAGCACTTTCAAAAAGGTTGAAGGCCTTTCAATCATTAGTTCTGTCCATTTTTAATGGGGGAGGTGACAAAACTTTTAAAGATCTGGTATGAACAAAACTTTAGAAAATGTTGTGTTGCCTGTGAAACCTGCAGCCCTGTGAAGGAACATTTGTGGCAGATTGAAATAAGCAAGCTAGCTTATGTTTCATCCGGGGTTTAACCAAACTGCATTGTGTGAGGAGCTCAACAATCCTTGAAAGATTTGGACACAGTCCCATTAATGAACTCCGGCAGGCAAGGCGCTACAATTGACTGGATCATGTAGCCCGCATGCTCAGCCACCACATGTCCAAACAGCTTCTATTTGGCCAGGTAGAAGGGGCTAAAACGGAGCTGCACGGGGTAGAGAAGAGATGGGTTTATGTGGTAAAGGAAGATATCGAGCTACGTAGACTTTCGATTTAAAGCTTTCGTGACTGCAGGGATTCATCTTCTTGGTTCTTTCGGTAAAGTCACGTAGAAGGGAAGTAATAAAATAATAAAAATAAAATAAAATAATTCTCACGACGTTTCGGCTACAACGCAAGCAGCCGTCTTCAGGTGAAGCAGCCGTCTTCACCTGAAGACGGCTGCTTGCGTTGTAGCCGAAACGTCGTGAGAATTATTTTATTTTATTATGTTTTATTTTTATTATTTTATTACTTCCCTTCTACGTGACTTTACCGAAAGAACCAAGAAGACTACGTAGACTTGCTGATGACTGGTACCAGCAGTGTCAAAGATCAGCCTCTGAAGAGGAGGCTCGTTAAGGAAGCTACTAGGCAGTTGTAGGCAGTCCTTCAGCAACAGCAGAGGATAGAGGAACGATGCTCACACCAATGAGCGGCGTGCTGGGTGGCTAAAAAGAATAAAGTTGGCACAGTAGAGGGCACAGCTGGTGCATCTGGCAGCCATCTCAGTCAACCCATGGCACCTGGGTCTGTTCCATGACCTGTCAGCGAGTGTTCAACACTTCACGTGGTCTCGAAGTGCACCTAGCCTCGCACAAGTACTCTGGCGATGTGACCACTTCTTATTGGTGAATGGCTGGTGTTGCATTTACAGCCAAGTATGTGGATTCTAAACTGCGCGCGGGGAACAAAGAGGCGACTGACGAGGAGCTGGAGAGGCTGCTCGACAAGATCATGATCATCTTCCGCTTCATCCACGGTGAGGAGACACCCTGTCCCCAAGCCTCGTTCCTTCCACGCCCCTTTTCCTTTGTCTTCTTCCCCCCTCTCCCTATGTGTCACTCTGCTATATCTGTGTGTGTTTGCAGGAAAAGACGTGTTTGAGGCATTCTACAAGAAGGACCTGGCGAAAAGGCTGCTGGTGGGGAAGAGTGCGTCTGTGGACGCTGAGAAGTCCATGCTCTCCAAACTCAAGCACGGTTGGTGTGGGCATGTTTCCGTGTGTGTCTGGGTTTAACATCTTCATATGTCCCATGTGTCTCGGGTCAACTCTGTTTCCTTTGTGCCCTGTGTAATGTGGTCCACATCGGCACTCACAAAGGCAGATGAGTTTGGCGTTGTCCACACCCACCACCACCTCATACGCCCTGCTGGGCTTAGTAGGTGCTCCGTAATGGCACTTGCCCCGACAGTCTCTGGATACTGCTAAATGGCATTGTGTGGTTGTGTGCAGAGTGTGGAGGGGCGTTTACCAGCAAACTGGAGGGCATGTTCAAGGACATGGAGCTGTCCAAGGATATCATGATCCAGTTCAAGCAGGTGACTCATTGCCTCCAGACATCACAGCTTGCACCACTGTCTCTTGCCCACTGTTAATGTTCTTGGAATGGTGGCACGGCACAAGCGCTTGAGTTCTTGTAAGGTCATGAGACTCACCTTCAGCTAACAACACGAGCGCTTTTCTCTAATGAGGCCGTGGGGTGTGTGCTCCGTGCGTCTGTGAACTGAATAGGCAGCACAACAGGTAGCATCTGCAATCTGTGTGTGGGTTGAGAGGGGGATCCTGTTTTTGGGGCCGTCAGCCTGTCCACCCTGTGTGTTTGTGTGTGCATCCTCTTGTACGTTCGTAGGATGTGTTGTGTGTGCACGTGTTTGTATTTCAGACACGTGGGGAGCGGTAGTGTCGCGGTTAGTGTGCTGTTGCTACGAACCCTGAGACCTGGGTTCGATTCCTGCTCACGGCCAACACCAGTGACGATGATCTGAACCGGTCCTGGGCCTCCCCGAGGTCGACTCAGCCTCAAATGAGTACCTGGTGCGGTGTGTAAACATCGCCACTGGGGAGACAAAGGCGGTCGGGCGTGGTGCTAGCCACCCACCCCCTCGTGTATTGTTCCGGCCTTCATAGGTGCTCGCTAACAGCACTTGCCCCTACAGACTGTTAAGGCTATACGGGGGATCTTTGTCTTTTTTTGTATTTCAGACAACCCATAACACTTGTCCCGTAGCCGCCAAGTACACCTAGCCTGACACAAGCGCTGTGGTGATGTTACCTGCACTTCGTGGTGAATGTTGGCTCGTGTGTGTGTGCACATGCATGTGTGTGCACATGCATATATATGTGATGTGTCTATGCGCACGTGAAGTACATGCAGAACCAGAATGATGCCAACAACATTGAGCTGACGGTGAACATCCTCACCATGGGCTACTGGCCGACGTACACGCCTATGGAGGTCCACCTACCCCCTGAGGTGTGCCGCCCAGCCTCGGTCACACACTGCACACTCACATCCTCACGGGAGGAAGGGAATGTCCCTTATAGAAGTAATTTAATCAGTAGAGTCTTGTCGGGTTCCAGAATATGAAATAGCAGAAGTATTTCCGGAGTTAATTGAGCATTAGTCTGTGTCGCACACTCGACTCAATGGTGCTTCTTAAGACAATGCACCTTCATGCTCTTTAAATAGCAGTTTCCCATGGATGTGGGTCATCTGATTATGGGTAGGAGATAGTCGCCTCCTAGCGGCCTACCTGTTACATGCTTTCATGTAAACTTAATTGCAACCAATCGTGTCATCTGGGCAAAATGAATGCCCGTCAGTTCAAATTTGATATCTTTCAGCAATTGGAGTGGATAAAACTGAATTGGGTGACCATTAGTTTTGTGGCTTAGTTTACTTGTAAGTTAATTTGTTACTGTACTGATATACTAAAATCACGACTCATCAAATATGGATTAATGTCGCTTGGCCAAAATTTATATTCCACATTCGTACATACACACTCTTAATAATGCACACGGTATGTCTTTGCATACCTGCTCACATTTGTACACAGATGCTCATGGTAATGTTCTGACGTGTGTGTGTGTGCACAGATGGTGAAGCTGCAGGAGGTGTTCAAGACCTTCTATCTGGGGAAGCACAGTGGCCGCAAGCTGCAGTGGCAGCCCAGTCTGGGGCACTGTGTCCTCAAGTCTGAGTTCAAGGAGGTGATTTTGGGGCTATGCTGCATGGCTAAAGGGGGAAGGGGGGATGAAGGGGACAATGTCCAATCCTAAGTGGGCATTAAAAACCCAACTTCTGGTTGTTGGCTGGACTGATGCAGTAGGCCAGGGGGTGGCCAACTGTGGCTCCCTGGGTTATTCAATTGCGCCTCACAGACAATATGCGGAAACAGGAGTGGCCTGGGGCACTAGCCCCCGCAAATGTCTAAATTTTTTAAAACTCCACAGCCAACCAGCATGAACGAACCAGCCCACTGGACCACCCCGCTTACACTGGTCTATAATTTTATTTTAATCTGCTTCAGAGATGACTGACTCTATAGTAGTATCTACTGACTCTATAGTAGTATCTACTGACTCTATAGTAGTATCTACTGACTGTAGTTGTACCTATTGACTCTATAGTAGTATCAACCAACTCTATAGTAGTAAATACTGACTCTACAGTAGTATCTAATGACGATATTAGTATCTACTGAATCTATAGTATCTGCTGACTATAGCAGAATCTATATATCTCTAAGGTAGCATCTACCGACTCTGCAGTAGTATCTCCCCACTTTACAGTAGTATCTACCGACTCTACAGTAGTAACTACCGACTCTTTAGTCGTATATAACAACTCTATAATAGTATCTAGTTAACTACTAACTTCACCGAGTGCCGTGATGAGGCCTAGTCCCGTGCAGAGCCCCCAGCCTCACCTAGATTGCCCAGCCGACCGAGGTGGCAACTTTGCAGGCTGGGGCTGCGCTGCTACTACCCCCCCCACCATCCCCCCGCCCACTGTACAGTAATACTATCTAAGGACTATCATAGTAGTATCTACCGACCCTATAGTAGTAAGTGCACACGTGGCGGGGGGGGGAGACGAGGACATCACACTGAAGAATTTACTTCAGCTTTGTGTATTTTTTTGTTGCATTTTTAACGCGAATGAGGATTCCCCCCCCACCGATTGCGTGTGTGCGTTGCTAGGGCAACCACCACCGCGAGTCGGCGTAACTCGCGCATGCGCAGATGCATGCTCTGGCACCACCCTGTGCTTATAAAAGGAATACATTGTTCATTTAACAACCTTAAACTTGACAGATGTGAAATAGGAAAAGCGCTTTTTCGTCTCAAGGCATACAGCGTGGTATCCGTGTACTTTTTTGATACGTTAACCCGACAGTTTGTCAGTTTAAAACGTCTCAAGGTACCCGCGCAGACAGACAGACACACAGACAGACAGACAAAAAATTACTTGTATAGGAAAGATAGTTTAGTCCTTATTCAGTGTCTACTCGGCGCTTCTTGGCTTGTCTCTTGTATTCATTAAATGGAGCATCTCTTGTCACAGTCCAGCAATAGTCTGCAAGCATTGATGGGCTCCATTTGCCCTGATAGCATTTCTCCATTGTTGCAATGTTCTGGTGACATCGCTCGCCATGCTCGTCGCTCAATGCTCTGCAGTTCAGTGGGAAAAAATCTAGATGAGAGTGCAAAAATGTATCTTTAGTGGCATTTTGCAACCAAGGCTTTTGAGGAGGTTTTCCACCAACTCCCTGTAGTTGTTTCTGAGAAAATTTGTTGTCACTAACTGGAAGGCTTGCCATGCCATCTTTTCCTTGCCACGTAGTGCACTGTCAAACGCATCATCTAGAAGAAGTTCACGAATCTGGGGACCAACAAAGACACTTTCCTTTATCTTCGCTTCACTTAACCTTGGAAATTTTCCATGGAGGTACTTGAATGCTGCTTGTGTTTTTTCCATGGCTTTGACAATGTTCTTCATCAAACCCAGCTTGATGTGTAAGGGTGGTAACAAAATCTTCAATTATTCAACAACTGGTGGATGCTGAACACTTTTCCTCCAAGGCTCCAATGATTTTCGGAGGTGGCCAATCTATCTTGATTTAGTGGGAATCTCTCGCGCAACTATCCCATTCGCAGAGTTCCAAATGCCTGACAAGGTCTTTCAGTTCACCTTGTGTTATGAGGTGTGGTTCAGAGGAGGAGGATGGGAGAAAATCTGGGTCATGTGACCTTGATGGTTCAGGACCAGAAGTTTCATCCTCTTCCTCATCTGACTCCAGTGAGTGATTCTGGTGCATCAGGAACAGGCAGTCCTCCGTGGGGTACTGGATGTATAGCTGATGGAATGTTTGGATAGTGCAATCCACTTTTTAGATTTTGACACACCTTTTCCAACTGGAGGCGCCATGCAGAAGTAACAATTGCTGATATCTGTTGGCTCTATCCAAATCATTGGCACTGCAAAAGGCATATATTTCCTTTTCCTGTTCAACCACTGGCGAATATTTGTTGCACAAGTACTGCAGCATATGTGTGGGGTCCACATCTTGTCCTGATCTCCAATTTTGCAGCCAAAATAAAGGTGATATGCTTTCTTAACCATAGTGGTTATACTGCGCTTTTGTGATGCAAAAGTAACTTCACCGTGAACAAAGCAGAAGTTACCTGCTTTGTTCACACAAGTACGAGGCATCTTTGCTCACTTTGGCTCAACAAAAATGTGTCCCTTTGCAAAATCAAACACTGACAAATAAGAGAGCACAACACTGACTTCTAGAGCTGACATAGAGCAATTTGTTCAGCAGAGGGATGTAGAACTAGACACGGTTCGCTATCCCGGTCCGGACCACAAGCTGGGTCCTGGCCCCCGTGGCTAGAGGCTTCTTCTCCCCGACGTGGATCTTCGTAACACTTCGAGCACACGAAGAACCTCGAGCTCCTCACGGGGCCCTCGTTAGATGCCCCCGGGCTGGGGCTGGCTCCGCCCCTCGCCCCGCCCACCTTCCAGGTCTCTCCAGCTCCTTCTCGAACGTTCCCGAGAGCTTTCCGGGACCACGTGACCGCCCCTCGGCCCCCGTCCACCGGCGGCCCCCCTCCAGTATCGTCCGGTCACGTGACAACAGGTCACAGCCAGAGCGTCATGCCCCAGCGTAACCCTGGCTGGCTGACGCTCCCTCGCTCCCTCACCGGGAGCCGGCACCGCACGCTGCTCGTGGTGCCTTCGCACTATCCAGCGCTCACCCAACCACTGCTAGAGTTGGTACTGCAGCCTGCAACCCGGGCTGCCCGCAATGACAACATCACCGGCCGTGACTTCGCAAGTCCCAGCACCATACAGTGACAAGTACAGTCACTACATATGTATGATGCAATACCAAGTTCAGATTGCATCATTCATTGTTTTGCTCAATAAGCAAGTACTGTCCTTACCCAGTCATAGATTTATTAATAGATCCAGTGAAATATGTATTTTAGTAATTTCTGGTTTAAATTGAGATCCCTTTCCTTTATAACTCACTTATCATCCGCCGTTCGCCAGTCCAGAATCGTATATACTGACCCAGTAGCATATCTTGAAAACCAGAGCCAATCAACAATTTTAAGCATCGTTTTAATTGGACTACATTTATTTCGGGAACATTTTGGCTGTAGACCAGTGTTATCCACCCCGTGTGAGCCATGAGAACAAGAATGCGTGTGTGATTATGTACGACTTTTGTGGCTCTGAGCCATATGATGCTTTGGTATGGGGCTCGTAAGGACAAGATTTGACCGCCCTGGCAATGGGCATTTGCAAATGAAATCCGTGTGTCAATGATCGTGGCTTCTCCGTCTCCTCCTCGCACAGGGGAAGAAGGAGCTGCAGGTGTCGCTTTTTCAGACCCTTGTCCTGCTGATGTTCAATGAGGGCGAGGAGTTCAGCTTCGAAGATATTCGCACGGCCACAGGCATTGGTGAGGGAGTCCGCGTGCATACACACCCTGAATACGAGCGTACACGCAACGCATGCACACACAAAAACAGAGACTTTATTTTAAGCTGGAAGAGCCAGATGAGCTATGACCTGTTTCACGTCTCCAGCCCAAGCTGGGGTTGGCAATAGTGGAAAATTCCAGAGTTACATAGAAAAATGTAACAATCATGCATTATCTCGAACAATATGTATACATTTCGATTTAAAGCTTTCGTGACTGCAGGGATTAATCTTTTTGGTTCTTTCGGTAAAGTCACGTAGAAGGAAAATAATAAAAATAAAACATAATAAAATAATTCTCACGACGTTTCGGCCACAACGCAAGCAGCCGTCTTCAGGTGGAGAACAGGTCTGTCAAGGAGACAGAGTCTGAATGGCACGCCCCAGGCTTGGAGCGACTATTTATGCTGGGATGGAAGAGGCGAAGAGCGTCTTGACAAAATAATTTGCATATCAAGAGGAATTTAGCATATTTATGGGAAATGCAGGTATGCGATTAGTACTACTTGTGAAATGCGTAGGAGGTTTGGCGAGGGGTTTAAAGTCATTATGCCCATGCACTATGCAGGATTAGCAGTATCAAAGGGAGGGAGTAAGGTTAGAATTAATAAAGGGAAGGAATGTTAATAATATGGCGCCGCAGCAACTAATATGCTTATAGACCATACATTGTAATATTACACTATGTATTATTCTACCCACCCAACTGTATACCACACTGCTGTATATTCACTATGCAATTACGATACTATATATTACCTTATACATTGTATTAACCATTACATTTTAATACTATGTATTATTGTACAATATGCTATACACTATACCATTGACCGTCGCGTGAAAGGTACTAAGAGGAAGCAATGAAATATGTCAATGGGAGAGTGGTGGTAGGAAGCTTGCAGCGTAGCAAAGAATCCATTCCCTGCGGAGAATACAAGATATATATAGAAACGTCGTGAGAATTATTTTATTATGTTGTATTTTATTTTTTTTCCTTTCCTTCTACGTGAAATAACCGAAAGAACCAAGAAGATGAATATGTATACAGAGAGGGAAATCACACTTGCAAATGAATATATTCTCAAACACCACAGTACAATTGTGGCCATGCAACCCAAACCACTAGTCTGCCACGTCTGCAATGGAAGGATAGCAATACTACACGAACTTTCTCCTGGAGCCCCTTCGTGGCGAGCAGACCTTGACGTTGGCATTTAGATCCTGAACATTTGCATACACAAGAATAGAAACGGCCATGACACATGCACCCCAAACAAGTAATCAGACAAGACACTTCATTTTAATTGTACTTTACTGATGGGGGCTGATACCTGAATTTGAACCCCAAGTCTCTGGGGTCTCTATCGATCTGTGCTCTCTGCTCGTGCTTCCCATAATCTAAACTAAACTATTTTATTAACCAGGTAAAGCTCACTCGGCTATTAGCTCTTTTTCAGAGGTGACCTGGACAAACATGACAGCTCATCAAAGTGGCGTGTCATGTGGAATTTTTTAGTAGCAGCCAAATAATCTGAACGCAGGTTTCTAAATGTGGAGGGTAAAACCGGAGGACCCGGAGAAAAACCCATGAATTTACGGGGTAAACATGGGAACTCTAAATATACAGGCGTCAGGGTCAGGATCGAACCCACGACAGCCTGCATACCAGGTGAGGGAGATCACATATCCTCGCCACCATGACGATAACATCATTGGCAGTCATGACCTCAAATGCTGACTTTAATTCAAGGTCACATGACCAAGCCCATTGCAACCCCTACACGTTTTAAAGCACCTGGCAGATGAACACTTTTATTGGTATTGGACTCAAACCCAGTTAATGTTCAGTACACAACAGTTAGCGTTTTGAGCAGACACGCTGATTTATTGGTACACTTTTACGTAACCACGTGCCACTGTTTTTACCTAAACAAATTAAGGAGAGCTTCTTTTCACCAGTTACTAAATAGATTCACCTTAATACAATAATCTATCCTGCCATTCACAACCAATCAACCAGCAATCAACTCTATTCAACTGGTCCAATTGCATGGCTGTTATGATGATGTCATGGCACCTACTGAAGGACCTAGATAAGGAAACTTTCAGGGGAGAGCTGGGATCTTGGTAATACCAGATGATGCTGAATGTAATCTGCAGCGAAATGTATAAAATTGCAAACATTCTGTACACCTTTAAACTTTTTGTTTTATTGAAAAAACTATTTAGTTGGTATATTTGCCAAAATGACAACTTGGTTTGATTGGCTGTCGGTTGTTGGAGGGATATAGTAAAAAAATTAACATACCTAGATTATCGAACTCAAAATAAACTAATTGATCAAAACAAGTTTGTGAAAAAAAATTTGCTTTTAATGCTGCCTTTTCAAACCTTTGACCACCCCTGTGGTATGAGGCTGTGTCTCCAGGCTTCTCAATGTGTCCATATCCCTGCATTGTCTCCATGTGCGTCTGAGTCCAATACCTCCTCTCCATGCGAGTTGTCTTTGTCTCTGAGTAACCATGTTTGCCTGAGTCTTATCTATCAGCGAGGCAAGTCTCATTGTCTCCCCGCGTGAGCTGTGGACATTCTTTATGGCCCTGTCATGTGTCTCGATAATGCCTAACCTGTGCTGGCTGTTGGCTTAACCCTTGTGCTGCCTTGTGCACAGTGAGCGCGTACCGAGAAGCCTTCCTGAATGACCCCCGTGTGTATTTGTACACCTGTGTGTGTATACGTGTGCATGTACAGGTGTCCGTGTATGTGTACACGTGTAGTGGTAGCGAAGTGGATAGCGCACTGCATTACAAACCCGGTGACCCAAGTTCAATTCCCACTTACGGCCAACATCAGTGATAAAAATTTGAACAGGTCCTGGGCCTTCGCCAGGTCGATTCAGCCTTCAATGAGCACCTGGTGTGGAGAGACAAAGGTGGCCTGGTGTGGTGCTGGCCACCCATACCCTCGTGTGCCATGCCAGCCTTAAGAGGTGCTTGCCAACAGCACTGACTCCAACAGTCTGTTAAAGGCTTTTACAGGTTTGCACCTTTGTGTATACATGTATACATGTGTGTGCGTGCGTACAGATTTTTGTGTATAAATGTACACGTCTCTATATATGTAGACGTGTGTGTGTGTGCGCTTCTCTATGTACATAGTGGCACTGTATGTACATACAGTAGATCGATTCCCACGCACGGCCTCCCCTAGGTCGACTCCACATCATACGAGTACCTGGTGTAATGTGTAAACATTACCATTGGGGAGACAAAGGTTGCCCGGCGTGGTTCTGGCCACCCACCCCCTTGTGTGCCGTATCAACCTTAATAGGTGCTCGCTAGTAGCACTTGCCCCAACAGTTTGTTAAGGCTATACTGGGGGTCTTCATTTTTGTGTATATATGTGCTCGCTCGCAGACGACGGAGAGCCGCGTAGTACACATGAGTCTCACGGGTGTGTGTTGCATGTCTGTTTACGATGCGTACAGAGGATGGGGAGCTGCGGCGTACACTGCAGTCACTGGCGTGTGGGAAGGCACGCGTCATCAACAAAGAGCCCAAGAGCAAGGACGTGGAGGACGGGGACCACTTCCTTCTCAACGGGGACTTCAAGCACAAGCTCTTCCGCATCAAGATCAACCAGATCCAGATGAAGGAGACGGTGAGGGGTTAGCTCAACAACTCAAAGGTTGCGCAATATCACAGGTTGTGCGATCTACATGTGGCATTACATGATCCAGGAGTTGCGCAACATGATAGGATAGTTACGGGACACCGCATGGACTAGAGCATCAAAGTGAAATGCCTCTTATCCATGGCTCTATTAATCCACTATTATCCACACCTTCGGTTTTTGCAAACTGAAAGATTAACAGGGTGGAGTCTAGCGACTGATTGTCAAGTCGCTTACAAATTTGAGAAATTGCAATTCAGAGAACAGTGATCACAATGTAATGAATTTAACCCGAAATAGCTGTCTTAATACTCTTTTTCAACAGGGTCCGGCATTGGAATGTTGGCCATTTATATTAATGAGTGCTTGTCTTGTGGGAGGAAACTTCAGCGAGGAAGCTGCTGTAATTTAATCCATCCACATAGATGGAGTAAATTAATTGCTAGCCTGTCGGCTCATTTGTCCAAGCCTACAAGACCTGGTATTCCCAGGCATTATCCCATCCAAGTACTAACCAGGCTCAAATCTGCTTCGCTTCTGAGATCTGAGGAGACAGTACTGTGGTGGTATTTGATATTTGGCGATTTTCCTTCACATAGCGAGGAGATGTCTTAGTGCCTCTCTGTGTGCATCACGGCAGGTGGAGGAGCAGGCGAGCACGCACGAGCGCGTGTTCCAAGACCGGCAGTACCAGATTGATGCAGCCATCGTGCGCATCATGAAGATGAGGAAGACACTGAGTCACAACCTGCTCGTCACGGAACTCTACAACCAGCTCAAGTTTCCCGTAAAGGTGATGCTAACAAACACACAACCTTACTTACACGTAAGAAAACTGTTAATTACGAGGTAACACACAGCTTTTAAGTAATAATTACCAACTAAGGATGAAAGCAACATGCATTAGTTCTACCGTCTGTAAAATAGAATCATGACAACTCTCTTAAGAATTATCCAATATGAATTAAATTGTATCTTGTTGCTATGTTTGGAATTACCATTGAATAAATCAGCGAAATTGATCCCCAGCTGAACGGTACAATAAAAAATAGCAGCCAGAGATGGATAAGCCACTTAATAAGGTGATGTCACACACCATAGACGCCTCAGCTACCCATTACGTCGCTTACTAAATCACATGGCGTTTGACATCATAGCGTTGAGCAACATTTTTGTCGCAAATTAGTACTTTCCAGTTCAAACGGGTTGAGCGCTTTACATAATTCATGCATATGCTTGATATTCCTTGTTTTGATCTGTCACTGATACGAGAGGAAGATCTCGACGTTTAGGCCAATTCAACCGACTGACGTGAAATTAAGATTTCTCATTCTGTAATTCTTGAGGTTTCAGTCACTTAAATCAATGTATGTCCACTACCCAGCCCTGCCTATCAGGTCTATTCAAGTCACTGCAAACTTCAGTGTTTCCTGAAGCAAGTCAGTCAGACCAGTCCATCTTTCTCTTCTCTCAGTGACCATATAACAAAAGCCTGTTACACATATACCTATATATTCATATACGTGCACGCACTTATATGCCTGTGCGTACATTTTCTTCTCGCACACTCATGCACGTGTGCTCACTGTTAGGCGATTGCTCATGTTTACAGGGTCACTCTCTCAGGGCTCGCATCTTCTCTCTCGCTCGCTCATACATTGTCGCTGTTTTTTGTTTCTTCATTCTCCTGTAGCCGGCCGACCTCAAAAAGCGTATCGAGTCTCTGATCGACCGGGATTACATGGAGCGCGACAAGGAGAATGCCAATCAGTACCACTACGTGGCCTGAGAGTGAAGGGGGGCGGAGCAGCGTGGGGGACCCTGCTTTTACTGGGGCAGCGTTGCTTCCCAAAAACCGGACACGGCAGCTGAGCGGAGCGACGCTCGTCTGCAAAACGGACGCTTTAACCCATGGACAAATCTGAGCAGAGTGTGTGGGGAAGCAACGCGATGCGACAGCGAGTAAAACTCAATAGTGTTGATGCAGGTTTTGGAGTTAAGTGAGTGGATGAATTAAAGTTTGTGTACACACGTCGCCGCCCTACGTCTGTGCTTGGTGCTGAAACGCAGAAGTGACGTGGACACACGAGTGTAGCTGCCGGATGCCCATGTGCATTTAGCAGATGGCGTTGGTAACACCATGCCGTGTCACTTGGAAGCCTGGCCTGGAGTGGGGACAAATCTGCAATGGCATTGGTGGTGCCCAGTTCAAGACCGAGGTCATCTTGCCCATCTACTGCTGCCCCTGCTCCTTCATAATGGCCTACTTTGCCTCTGACACTGGTTTGTGGGGAAAGTGGAATGGTGTGGGCCGCTTGTGTCCCCAAGGGTTCAGCTGAAAATTCTGCTCCTCACGATCGCTTGGGAGAGTGAACACTGAAAAAAAAATTAGAAATGCGCACGTGGAAGGAACAAACTGCTTCACGCAGTGAGCATCAGTCCCTGCCATGCGCTATGATTACCGCTGCAGCCAAACTTGCGTCTGCATGCGGCGCCACGGGGCCAAAGCCTCGGCAAACTGGAGCGAACCCCATCGCCAGCGCTTCAAACAGCTCCATGGCATCCAGACTTTGCCTAAATGCTGCATTTCCATTTTGGCCACGAGCACGGCCGCCTTCTGCTTTAAAGTCGCATCCTCCTTGGATGTGTGAGTTGAGCTGAGGATGCATCCAAGAAAGGATAGGGCTCGGTTCAGCAACGTAGAGTCTGGAGCCTCGGCTAGTAGGCCTGTGCACTTGTTTATTTTTTAAAACAAATGAGCGTCCCCGTTTATCCATGCAGATCCTTTCTCTGCTAGTTTCTGTTAAAACCTCGACTGCACCACTGACGCCAGTGTTAAAGCGTTCACCTTACGTTGATTCGCTGTTGATGTTTTGGTTGCGGCTGCCTCGGTGCTACCTTGTGTTGCCAGTTTTCCATCCCTCGTGCCGAGATTGTGTCGCCTCGGTTCGCTGTGCCAGGCGTAGAAGTAATGAAAGCAATAACTCGCTGGGGCCCCGAGTGGCCAGTGCTGCTGGATTTACTGTCTCGCAGTTCTCCTGTTGGCACCACAGTTGTGACTATCGATTGCTCTACTTTCTCAGCGTAATTAAGTCAAACGATTTGCTGGGTATTTATTTTCGAGTTTAGACAATGTTGATTGAGTTCACAAAGCTGTAGTTGGCTGTGATGCCCCACGTATTAAATTCATGCTGGAGTGAGTGGGTCCCGAAGGCCTTGCTAGTTGCTCACGGTGATAACCAGTCACCTGTTTAACTCCGATCTGTAGGTCCAGGTCACACTTTGAGGAAAATGATGAGGTCCTGTTAATTGGGCTAAAGCTTAGGTCACTCGTGGGCGCTAAAGAGGTATCTGTGAAATTAGAGATAAGGTTCCAACATGCTTATTCTTTGGGTCTTACGGTAAAGTCATGTAGATAGGTTCAAAGAAAGTTAAAAAGTACGTTTCGATCGCAACACCACCTGATGACGACCGCTTGTGTTGTGATCGAAACTTATTTTTTTGTTTTCTTTGAACCTATCTACGTGACTTTACCGAAAGATCCAAATGATATGAATTCCAGCAGTCACGAAAGCTTTACGTCAAGATTTAGGTGCGACATGCTTTTACTAATTTCATCCGTACCTGTGTGCTGGCAAGTCTGGTAGCCTCAGACCCAGGGTCCCTGCCGAGAGCCTTGTGTTCTCGCCAACAGGATGATGATACATCGCACCATGTCTCTCATGACTGGTTAATTTGGGCTGTGGAAATGTAGACTTTAAGTTAAACCTCAGGATATCGCAGAGCACCCATATGTATGCATTCATCTCTATTCTGTTGAGGTTTTTCTTTTGGTTTCTCTTGCGCCATCCATCGCCCCTGTAAGAAGCAGCCCAGCAAGTAGGTTTCTGACACGTGGAGTTTGAGTATTCTCTCCTCGAGGAGAATACTCTGCGTTGGTTTCTCCGAGCCCTTTCAGGCATGAAGGAATATGAATTAAGAATTGAGTAAATTAAGCATGAAAATTTGGCTAAATGCTGCTTGAGTAAATAAATACATTTACAAAGTGTAATTCGTGTAGTTGCTCAGAAGCAGCGTTCACTGCTAATAGATAAACCGTACTGATAGTGACAGTAATGCCATTTAAATGCTGTGAGGGCTGGTCAAAGACAGGTGTCATTAGTAAGAGTCATATATTGTCCATTTGTTGTGGAGGTTCAGTTTTACATTGAAAATTTCCTGTCAGGAAACACTGACAATACTGCAGATTCTGCTGAAATATACTCTGTAAAGGTCCTCACTTAGTCATCGTTAATATTTTCTCAAACTATAATTTGATATGTTCACCCAGAAAGCCTTGCTGACTCTCAACGCTTTAGTAGAATCCTACTTGCTCTGTTTGACCAATTCCCTTTTAAATGTGGGATAAAACGAGTGCCTGGAGTTTTGACTGTGCTCCACATACAAGTAAGACATCTACTTGCTCTACAGCGTCCTTTCGGCTTGACGAAGTTGCCCATAAGATGGTTTCCCAGCACGACACATCCCTGCATGATCGATCGACACTGCCACTGGCTCACAGGGTTCGTCGCCGCATGGAGAATGATTGAGCACGGAGCCAGCCTGAATTGTCCCACTGTGTCCTTACCAATGTCCACACTGACAGTGTCCGGCCTGATACCTGAGATATGGCATTAGTGGGATCTTTCTCAATAGGACACCGTTTTTGATTAACACAGATATCCATTGGAGCAACCACCCTGATTACAGATCTATGAGTGTCAAGAGCACAGACCTTTGTATTGACCCAACGGTCAGTGTTGCAATACAACTAATGTACTTGACTCCTAATGGACCTCGTTGAATGGTGGCCACGCTTTTGTCGCCCTCTGTGAGAGTGGAGATGGGTTAAAATACAGCACAGGCAGTTTTACAAATTCAACCCCTTCAGCACGTGACGCCCCATCCAAGGATCCCCCAGAGTCGAGCCACTCGAGATGATGCTCAGTTTGCAATGTGGTGACCGCACATGTTCATGGATATTAAACTTTATTTTTTAGTCCATATCCGTAAGTACAGTTGTTTTAGGAACCCCGTTATGTATGACTTGTGTTATCTGCGTTGAAATGAGACTGCACAGTGTGAGATGCGTGCTCTTTTCATGTAATGTTTGGTCATGGCGAATTGCCGATTGCGTGCGTGCTCAGTCCCACCCTGGCCTTGCAGCGTCATCCCGACTCATGGCGTTTAAAGCGAACGCTGTCATTGGGCACGATGTACACATGCACGCAAAACAGTTCATGGAAAGCGCTTATGTGTGGTTCAGTTCAACAGATTTGAACTGATGTGTATGTCATTACGCTGGCTATATTTCATTATTAAACTTTACATTGAATTTAAAAAATAAAAGCAGTTTATAAAATGAAAACAAAACATTGCACGGCTCCATGTTGGTTTGATTTGTATTGTAAATTAAAGTACTTTTGAATTGTAAGGAAAATAAAGTGCTGTATATTCAGATCAGCAGATCTCGCATCTCAGTCTTGTTTGGAATAACCTATTGTACTGTTCAGCTGGGGCAATGGTTTGATTTACAGTTCTTGATTTGTTGCAACAGATGATCCTTTTGTGCCAGTTTCCCGGCTATTTTAAACGGTTTTACTTAACTTGATTCCTCTGTTTGTCGTGGTTAAATCTTGTAATCAAAAATTCGTCCACTTCCCGTTGTCCAATCAATTCCACATTTTGCACACGTCCTCGGATCCGGTGATCATGCATGCCTGTATCAAAATCGTCATCAATTAATTCGCTACTTTAAAGCAATTTACATTTTGTATGGACGCGTTATTTATATATTTGCGTAGGTAAAAAACGCCGCGGTCCCTAAACTGTGGAATCGGCTCGCACAAAACGCAGGCGCCACGTGTCTCGACCGTGAGTTAAACGAAGTTGTTAATAAAACCGTTGTTAAAAAAAACATTTTTTAAAGGAGTTTATTACAAAGGAGATCCGTGGTGCGCGAGCAACGCAAACAAACACAATTTTGCCGAGAACCGAGTATCGGAATATTAAACAAACGAGGTATATTTAACATCATTAAACCTCCTAAGCCGTCCCTGGTGTGGACCAATCAGTTTCAAGGACAATGCATATATTAGTGTTTTTGTTTGCATTTTGACTGCAAGTATTGTGGTTAATGCAGAGATGAATCCTTGTAAAATGTTTCAGTTTTGTTGCCAGAAAAAAGGGGGAAACCCCTATTATTGTATTGCATATTTAACAGTTATATACAAAACACGCGAATAGAAAAACAGTATAAAGCACGAATGAAGGCTGGCATTAATTCTAGATTTGAAGCTTTCGTGAGTGCAAGGATTCATATTCTTAGGTTTTTTCGGTAAAGTCACGTAGGTAAAACATCAAAATTAATGAAAATAAAATAAAACAAAAAATCACGACGTTTCGGAGGCAACACAAGTCTCCGTCATCAGGTGGGACCGTCACAGCCGAATTAGCTGCATGATGCAGCTAATTTGGCTAAGAATATGAAGGCTGGCATGACAATCAGGGATGTGGGGATGTCCAACACCACGCCCGGCCGTCGTGTGTGCCCTGCCCGCCGAAGTGTACAACTCAGAGAACCTTGTCCCATCAGTCATCTCGGGCGATACGGGGGCCGTCTTCGTGTGTGAAGCATCAACTCCAGAGGTCGCAAACGGGTTTTGATTCCTTACCCGTACCCGGCCGCACCAGGGTCGCAAACGGGTACCCGATACCCGGCCGGGTAGCCGGGTATCGGGTGGGGTACGGGTATCAGAAACCCGATTGCGACCTCTGATCAACTCCCACGTGATCCCGAGTCGATCACGCGCACGGTCACGAGACCTCCCTCCCCGCCGTATCACGTGACCCCCATAAATACCAACGAGTCACCCCGCCTTGGCGCGCTCAACCAATGAAGTTCGTTATCCGGCGTCACGTGGTACGGCTTTCCCGCCCGTTTAAAGCGTCGCACGTGGCTGTGGGCGCCAATCAGCCCCGCCCATCACCGGTCACGTGCTGTCCTGAGCGTGAGGCGGAAGTGGGGGAGTCACGAGCAGAAACAGCTGAGACGGAGACATGGCGACCACGGCGACCACGGCGACCGCGGGCCTCGGCCTCCTCTTCCTCCTCGTGCTCATCGCGCACTCGGGTGAGAAGAGACCCTCGTGTGCGGGCTCGGCAACTCTCCGCGCTCGGCAACTTCCCCCTATACGCGCGCTTTCCGTCCACTCCGCACTGCCCACTCCCGACCCTCCTCCACACTGCCACTGCTGCTTTCCCCATCGTCTGCACTGCTCACGACGCGAACTCTTTTGTTGGTGTTGTCTGTTGTTGTTGTTGTTGGTAATGCGCCTGTGACCACGCGTCCGCTGCGCGTCTTGTTTACTGCGTCAATTTTAGTTTGCTGAATTTAACGAGTGTCCTAGAATATTCATCAAATATTGTCCAGAAAGTCGGGCTTTGCTGAGCGTTCCGTTTCACGAAATAAATCGTGAGTCGGGGAGGCGGAAACAATGAAGTAAACCCTGTCGAATGTGGATTGCCAAGTGCTGCAGCGGAGCCGCGCTGGGTCTCGTGTTGAATTGGTGGTTGAGTTTTCTTTCTTTCCCAGATCGCCCCTTTGTTGTCGCGTGTGCAACCATTCCCTTGAAGCGAGTTAACATTGGCTGGTGCGTGGTGCTTCTCTAAGCGGCCATTAACAGTTATTTACGTAACTTCAATCAGGCGACTAATTCAGTCACATACTGCATAACTTACTGACCATGTAAAGGAGTTGGTAGTTGCTACTAATGTTTCCACCCCAGGTGGAACCGGTCTCTCCTGGTCTACGGACTCCCATGCATATCTCAGCGCGGCCACTGCGAGTCGTTTCCCGTAGGAACTGCCTTGTGTGTATATCTCACACAATGTGACTTGTAATAGCAATACGATTGACAGAGGTCAGAATTAGAATATTTATTTAGACTGGAGGAATCTGATGAGCTATGAAGCTTTTGCTCCACAGATGTCCAAGTAATGGGAGCTGAGAGTGTTTGGGATATGGGTTCACTGCCGTGAGTCGAAACCCACACTGATGCAGTCGTTGCAGTTTCAATGAAAACGTATAGTTATCTTAGAACACTAATAACTTTAAAGGTGTTCGTACTTGCAAGGCAATTGTTAACATCACCACATTCTCTTCTGCAGCAAGTCGATCGGCATTTCTTCATGTGTTGGGTGACTCAGTGGCGCAGAGGGCTGCACTCGACCCGTGGCAGTGAGTTCAAGCCCTGGGGAGGGCACCGGGCTGAGCTTGCCGTGGTTACGCCGTGTCACACGGATTATTGGTGGCACAAACTTGTAAAGAATGTTTCTAACTTGAGCTGCCTAATCCCGGCTCTGAAGGCTTAATTGACTGTACGTCTGTGAGGCTTCCACAGTAGACGGATTGCTACTGCATCACATTTCTTGCTTTGAAGGCGATTATGCTGTGATGCACAGTACGTTAAATCAACATTTAAATGACAAATAAACTAACTCTTTGGTTCTTTCGGTAAAGTCACGTAGGTGTAAAATAAACCACCGGATGACGGACGCTTGTGTTGCGCCCGGAAGGTGATATGTTTTCTACCTACGTAACTTTACCGAAAGAACCAAAGAGTATGGATTCCTGCAGTCACGAAAGCTTAAAATCAAGACAAATACACAGTGGCTTTTTCACTGCACCCCGGCTTACATTTACGTATACGAGTGTTTCGACCATATGAACACTTTCGACACAACATATTACTTGGCTTAAATACGCAAAGTTATTTCCCGATTAAATTTGCATTGGTGCAGTGCTCATCAGTTTTTAGTCCTGGGACAGTAGTGGAAAATCATCATTCATGTGGCAGGGAATGTCGCTCCATAGGACAACCACTGTTGACTTGTCCAAGAAAACGAACTAATTTGATTGATCCCAGAAGGATGATGGGTTGAATTAACCCCCAACCATGATGTTAATTCGCAACTACTTTGTTTATTAATGGAAAAGTTCGGTGTCGTGTGGATGGAATGTGCAAAGGCTGAACGTGTTGGCATCCTGGCTGAAGCTGTACAATGTGTACACAGACGCCACTATCGACCCCCTTGTACAGGGGAGTGAACTCTTGCGTCATACTATGGTGGGCTCCGTGACCTTTCACCGGAATATGGCGAGTGTTGATTATATTATCCAGCCGCCTTATGCGTTTCACGTGATGGCACGCGCACAACTCCCTCTGGTGTCGGGTGGCTCGAAGAGGGTCGCGTGAGTTTCCCTGTGAGCTCCTTTCCAGTGCTGAGTTACTGGAGCCCCCCCCACCTCCCTGGAAACATAGAACAGTTTTGTTTGTCTTTTGTTGATACCCTTTCCGTGTCACATATATACAAATGTGTTTCTCTAATCTCTTTGTCTTCATCAGTCGGTT